CTGGGCAACCTGTGCCAGGGCCTCACCACCCTCACAGGGAAGAATCTCTTCCCACTGTTCCATCTAACTCTGCCCTCTGGCAGAGGGAAGCCATTAGTCCCAGCTCAGCTGGCAGTTCATGCTCAGGAGATCCCAGCAAGGAGAAAAAAGCTCTGGCCAGTGGGGCTGGCTAACAGGAGCACAAATGACAAAGCCTGGAAGGGAGAAATTGCTCCTAAAAAAAGAAAAAAGAAAAAAAAATCCACAAAAAACCAAGAATGAGGGCGCTTTAGTAGCAGTAAGAGCCATCACAGGTGTAATAAACTCATTCTTTCACATAGAGAGCATGAACCTGAATCCTCATGGCTCTTCCTAGAGAGTTTGCCTGTGCAAGGGCTGAACAAAACCTCATTTTCTTAAATGCCAGGTAAACAGAAGCAGCATTGAGGTCACACAGCAGTGAGTGATTCCCTCACTTGCCAAAGAATAAAGTGCAACACAAATAGAAATTGTAGCTGAGAGTGCTGGAGCCTTGTAATCTTACCAGGCTATCAAATACTTCCCTTGCCATTATTATTTTGTCATTAACTTAATATTGAATATGAAAAACATGATGGAAAAATGTCTAATATTTGATAATTAAATATTGCAAAGATGTGTCAGCTCATTACTAATCCTAATTAAAGTAGTTATTTCCATTTTCATCTCAGACATGTGTGTAATTAAATGTACCTGGGAAAGAATTGCCTATTTTCTCTAACTAATCAGCAGCAAATGTTGCTGTGCTGGGTCCTCCCATGGGATCCTGTTGGGTTTGGGCTGGCACTGGTAATTCCATGAGCTCCTGCAGCACTGGGGTGTAGGATCAGCTGGTTTGGAGGGACTTGTCTTTGTCAGGGCAGGGTCAGGTTGGATCTCAGGGAAAGGTTCTTCCCCCAGAGGGTGGTTGGGCACTGACCAGGCTCCCCAGGGCAGTGGGCACAGCCCCAAGGCTGACAGAGCTCAGAGAGGGCTTGGACAACGCTCTCAGGGACAGGGTGGGATTGTTGGGGTGTCCTGGGCAGTCAGGAGTTGGACTCAGTGGTCTTTGTGAGTTCCTTCCAACTGAGGATATTCCATGATTTCATGAGCTCCACACGAGTGAGGGGAGATGAGGGTCGGTGGAATGTTTGAAGGGGGAAGTAAATCACAAGTGGCAGTAGCTGGTCTTGGTGAGCAGGAGCTTGCACAGGCAGGCTGGCATGAGCAAGGAGAGAGGGAAGAAGCTCATGGATAGAAGAAGATTTCAATGGAGCAGAGCCTGCTCCAAACTTTCCATCCACAGTTTTATTGCAGAACAGGCTCTGAGGGGGATCAGTTTGGTTGGCTATGCATGTGGACCTTAAGGTGGGACTGACCTGGAGAACAGTCTTGCCCTTGTCCTTGCAGGCCCTTCTAAGTGTCTGAAAACTTCTGTCATCTTTTGAAACATCTGAAGGACAATTTAATACAATTCCTGTAGTTTGGTGACAGGGGACCTGGGACTAAGGGACTAAATAGGCTTTACTTGGGATAGGGAGAAGGAAACAAAGACAGAAGATGGAAATATTTGAAGAAGTTCCTGCATCTTGGGAAGCTTTCCTATCTCTCTAGGTATCTTGGTTTTGGCTGTAGCTGCATTCTGATATCTGAGGATGTCTCCCTGTGCTTTTCTAACCTATGATTAAATGAAAGGCAGAGACTAAGGGGACAGGCTTTGATATTGTTTGTGTCAGGGTAAAGACACAAAATGATATGTAAAGATGTGTTAATAACTTCCCAAAAACTTTTAAAAGAGTTTTATCTTTAAATCAGTTGCTGAAATAGCACCTTCATTCATACCCAGAGGGGGTATTTAAACAGCACATTTATGGTACAATCTGGGATTATCCCAAGACAGTTGTTTATGGTGTGTGCTGCTTTGGCACTTACATGCAGAAAGATTTCTCCTTAGGATGTGGATATTGGCTATTTTCCTGTACTCTTCAGTAGAGCCAATGCTCTCTGCAGCTGCATTTTTAATTAATGTTGGGCTTGAACAAAGGTAGAGACTGCTGGTATCTCCTGTGCCCAGCTGCTGCTCTGAGTCAGGGGTTGGTTTAGTGATATTAACCAACTGCTTTTGTTTTTAACCAGGAAATGATGATTCTGACATCGACATTCCGGAGGATGAAGGATCTGACAGTGAACTGGAAGGGCAGATCATGAAGCAGCACACCAGTACAGAAGCTCTGCTGCAAGGTATCCTAACCCTTCCTTCCTTGCCTTTATTCAGAAGGATATGCTGGAATTACCTGAGTCACTTCAGATGTGAGAAGACCCTGTTGCAGTTCAGGACGTTGGCACCGCTCAGTTCTCAGGAGCTGCAGGAGGATAAAGCCTTGTGGAGAAAACAGTGGTTTTGGGGGAGCAAATTAATTTACTGGGGGAAAAAATCACTGTGTGAGAAAAAACCTGCCTTGGTATTGTCTTAGAGATTGTTGAAGTAGCTTCATACAAAGCCTCAGGAAAGCAATGCCATTTCTCATTGCAAAGCATTTATTTCCCTTTAGCTGTTGGCACTTGTTCTGGCAGAGGCTTTTTCAAAAGGAGACCTTCAGTGAGTCCATAAAGCTGCCTGCACTGATGTGGGCACAGGGGTAACACACCTGAGCTGCTGCTTTCAGGGAGGGATGTCTGTCTTCTATCCTAGCTCATGTGGAGTGGAATTGCAGCCTCTGGTGCTGATCCCACTGGAGCCCTGCTCAGAAGAGTTACAGGTCCTGGTCTTAGAGGAATTACTGGGGAGGGGGGGTCTGTGTTTCACTGATGTGGGAAAAGAATTGCTCTGCTTAGTCTGGAGTCAAGCAAAATGCACCCAGGTAATCAGGTTAGTGCTCTGTGTTGGCAGTGAGGGATCCTGAACCGCCAGCCAAAGCCTCTCTGGGGTCTGTAGGAAGTGCCTGTGTAGGGAATTTCATGTGCCACCACTTCTGCTGGAACCTGTTCATTAGATAAACTGCAAATATGTGGCGTTTTTCTGAGTGGAATTCTTCTCTCCCCTCTCTGAGACCAGAGGAAGAAGCTGACACTCTCAAGTCAATGTAATTCAAGCATTTTTATCCTCCTTTCCACTGGTTTTCATAAAAATAGAGAAATCTTGATAAGTGCTAGAAACACTGATATTCCCTAAGGATTTTTACATTGCCATTTCTCAGGGAAAGGTTTGTACACGGATTTTAGAGCTTTGGAAGTGACTGTGTAACTGTCTGTAACTTCAGTTCAGAGGGCACCATAACCTGGCGATGTCAACCATCTCTTAATACCAGTTTTAAGAGTAAAAAGCTTTATTACAGAAGTTGTAGATTTTGTGACGAGTAGAATTTTTTTCTAGGAAGAGCTTTGTTATCATTAATTACACTTAATGGAGACTCAAAATGAGCTTGTCAGACTTAAGCAGTTCAAATCTATGAGATGTTTTCTCTGCTGTGCTGTTTAGATTGATTTCTGTGCTCCTCTGGGTCTCCTTCTGATGTTCAGTAAACTACTACTGGCAGATAATTATCCTCTTGACTTACTGCTGCTCTCTACAACTCCCTGACAGGAGAGTGGAGCCAGGTGGGGGTCAGGCTGTTCTCCCAGGGAACAAGGGACAGGACCAGAAGAAACACCAGTGCAAAGTCTTGCCCTGGGAATGCAGAAGCTGCTGTGCTGGATCAGGCAGAGGGTCCATCCAGCCTGATCTTCTCTCCCCACCACTGTCTGAAAGAAAATGTCTAGGGAAGAGTGTAGGAACTTCCCTCAGGTTCCCTCCTGCTCTCAATCTGTTTCAACCTCCATGAGTATTTCCTGAGCCAGATGTGGCTTCCACAAATTTAATCTAACCCTCAGCAGATTTATTTTCTCCTGAGAACCTGTCCAGTCTCCCCTTGAACTAACTGGATTTTTGTCATCCATGCTATCAGAAGTGGCAGATTTTGAAGTGATGTTGTGATTATGTGTGCAGATCCATCTTTGCAGCCTCTTGGACCAGTCTGAAATGCATTTTGGCATCAGGAGGATCTCTCCCCTTCCCAGTGGCAGCAGTGCCAGACTGGGACACACAAGCTGGCACACAGGGCAGTGCTACAGAATGAAGCTGGAAGAGTCTGCCCTTGCAGATCTGTGGAACTGTGCCTGTCTGTAGTAAATCACCCTCTATTCCACACTGCCAGGGTCCTTCAGCTCCTGTAAACCAATTATCTGAATGCTTCAGCTCTTGTTTACTTTTATAATGTTGGTGTTAAGGGGAATTTTTGTCCTGTCCAGACCACAGAGACCATTTCACCACTTGAGACAGGAACAACTTCAGCCTTTTTTGTGTCTTTCCTGTAAGAAGACAGCTTTGCTAAACTCTATTTTTCAGCAGACAATCAGTCTAAAGCCACACAGTGAGAAGCAGCTCTCCTGCAGCCTCTTGCTTTGGCAGCCCTGACCCAGGGAATCAGTGTGATGATGATGTGCTGAGGAGCTGGGCAGTGAGGGCACTGAATGCCTGTGTACCCTGGATGCTGGGGGAAGGCTGCAGAGGCTGAATTACCCCTCTTTTTTTTTTTTTTTAAATCCTTTAGGGAAAATGGAAGCTTTGACATAGAAGTCTTCTCAGGTGAGCCTACACAGCCCTGTTTCCAAGCCCCTCCTGCTGAAAAGCAGGAAAGTCCTGCTCTCAGTGGAGATTGTCAGACTCCACTTGTGCAAATTCTTTCTCCAGCTTGTGGCTGTGTTCAGATTTCTGCCACAGAATTTCTAGGCTGTTTGCCTTCCCTTTTAACTCCCCTAGGTGTGTAGAAACCAGAGGTGTGAGATTGATACACAGGAGAGTGGAGGGATTCAATTGGGAATGTGCAACAGCTGCCTGCTTCTTGATGGATATCTTGTTCACATTGAGTTCCTGTGGCTGTCACCTGCCTAATTTTTAAAGCCACATGTTAAATAATAGTCTATTTTCTCCTTCCCTCTGGTTCCTAAAGGAAATTACATCTCTGAGCCCAAGACCAAGAGACATGTGCAAGTACATTTATCTTTACAAATACAGGGTGGCAACAAATCTGCAGGTTTTCTCAAAATGTTGCGTTCCTCTCTGTTGTGGAAATGAGTGTTTATTTAAAAAAAAATAATCTGAAGCCCACTGCAGCTGTGTGGGCACACTCAGATGCTGTGTGATCCCATCCCTGATCTCTCAGATTCATCCACAGGGACAGCTGCCTCTCACCAGCACACAGCTGAGTGCAGGATGTCATCTCCCTTCCCAAGTCATTCCCCCCAACAGACTGTTCAGAAACCCTTAAGAAACAGCCATCAGGTTCTGCCCACTGCTGCAGAGTGCCTGGAGCTTGTGTTTTTGAAAAAGAACAGAAGAAAATGTCTTGTTCAGAGTCATGCCACGCTGAAGTGCCCCCAGGGAGGATTTGCCAAGGGTGCTGCACATGTAAACCTCTGCCACAGGCTCAGGTGTCCTCCTGGTGTCCCAGCAGGGCCAGCATGGCAAGGCCTGAGTCGTAAAAACATCAGGAATCTGCAGTGGGGCTTGCAGGTGCTTTTTCAGAGGCCAGATTAGATTTGGGTATCCTCACAGAAGGGAGAGCTTTAGACCCCACATGGCACCAGGTGGGCAGAGGTGAGTCAGGAACAGCAGCTGTGACACAGGCTCTGCTGGGCACTGAATTCTTACCTTTCCAGTCCATCAGGGATTTGGGAATGTTGTTTGTAACCCCAGAGCTTCTCTGAAAATCCCTGTCTGATTTCTTGGCAGTTATCAAAAAGTACAGAGCAACAAAAAAAATCTCCTCTGCCCTGGCCAGCTGCTGTCTTCCTGATGGCTCCTGAGGAGCCCTGGTGTTTGCAGGCATCTCCTGGCACGTGTTTGCCTTAATCCAGAGTCTGTGGAAGTGAGGTGAAAGGGTCTGGCTTTCACACATTCCATGGTGGTGGCAGAGGGAGAAGGCTGAGGCACAGGGAGTGGGTCTGGCCGTGCATTGGCAGGGTTCAGGTTCTCCAGCTGTTTGAAGGTGATATATGAAATCAAGGGAGAAAATTGCAAAAGTGCACCTGCTCAGAACACCTCAGAGGACTCCACCAAACTGATCCTGCTTTTAGAACTTAAATAAATTCCTTCCTTGTGAACTTCCTCAAGGGCAATTTTACTCTGACTGGGGCTTTGTGCACATGGCGTGTGTGGGTTCTTGTGGCTGTGCTCCTGGAGGGAATATACTTTTCTGGTAAACCAAACCAAGTCCTAATTGTAAACCTTATAAAAACATTTGGGGCAGTCAGATTAGTCTCTTATTCCTTGCCTCTTCAGGTCAAATGGGAGAGAAAAACAGTGTTTGAGCCACAGATCTGATTGTCAGTGCTCTGAGGAAACCAACCCAGAAGGCTGGTGCAGCTGCACTTATTTTCCTGTATTTCTGTGTGGATCTCTGCAGATTCCTGTCCCCCAGATAAGAGTCTTTGCAGACTTTAGTTCCCTGATATAGCAGCTGTTGGGCAGTATTACTAGGCTCATGTAGCTGGGGAAAGGGGGCAATCAGGTGTATTTGGGAACACTGAAAAGGGGCCGTGTTTAGAATTCGGAGAAATTAATTTGTCTTAAATTAAACTTTCTTCCTCCTCCTTGGCATCTGCTCCCTGCAGAGGTGTCATTGGCTGTAGGTTTTGTGTCAGGAGGTGCTTCCTGGAGGAAGGAGGTGTTGCTGTGCACTGTCAGCCAGGCCATCATGACACTGGACCTGGTGGAGAAGGAGGAGGGAGGGGCTGTAGCTCTTAAATCATGGGAGACAGGTCCCTCACTTCCAAGTGGATTTCCTTTCCATAGAGGTGTAAGAAATAAGTTAAAGTGCGCTCCCCTGGGCAGCACCACAGCTCCCCTGTGGTGAGCTTAAAGAACCTCTGGATTTTGGCAGTGCCTGGAAGATGTTGCTGAGATCAGAGCCTTGTGCTAAGGGAGGGGATTGTCCTGCTCTGCTCTGCCCTGAAGTGCCCTCACCTCAGCTCCCGGGGCTGTTCTGGACACCATCATATCAGAAGGATCTAAAGGTGCTGGAGAGTGTCCAAGGGAGGGTCACAAGGATGGGGAAGGATCTGAGAAGCAGCTCAGGGCTCTTGAGGTCTATTCAGTCTGGAGAAGAGGAGACTGAGGTCAGACCTCAACAGCGTCTGCAGCTTCCTCACGGGGGCAGTGGAGGGGCAGCTCCAAGCTGTGAGCAGTGACAGGACCCGGGGAACGGCTGGAGCTGTGTCAGGGCAGGGTTAGGTTGGGTATCAGGAAAAGGTTCTTCCCCCAAAGGGTGGTTGGGCACTGACCAGGCTCCCCAGGGCAGTGGGCACAGCCCCAAGGCTGACAGAGCTCCAGGAGCGTTTGGACAACGCTCTCAGGGACAGGGTGGGATTGTTGGGGTGTCCTGGGCAGGGAGTTGGACTCAATGGTCCTTGTGAGTCCCTTTCAGCTCAGGGCATTCCATGATTCTGTGATTAAGAACACAGTGCCCAAAGCACACACAGATTAGAAAGTTCAGGCCAGAGGTTTATCCCAGTTTTCTCTGTGTGGAAGGGGATGTGTTGTGGAGGGAAGTGTCTTCTCCAAGCTCTTGCTGTGAATTTGCATGAAGCTCTGGCCATGCAGATCTGCAGACTGAGAGCAAAATGTTTCAGCTGCAAATCCACCCTCCCCTCCCCAGGGGCTGGCTGGACCCCACAGGTTGTGCATCTCTTCTTGCTGTCAGACACAGGGTTAATGTGTACCCACTGCCCAGTGAGAAGCTGGAAATCATTGCAGTCCTGTGGCTCCGTTGTAGGAAGCTGCACAGGCTGGTACAATGGCATATATCACACAGAGGGAAAAGGGCAAACGCTCACAGGCTTCAAATCATGGATGCTTGGTGGCTGTAAACTGTGGCGCTGCCTGGAGATTAGATTTGACTCCGAAGCTGCAGTGAATTACTGTCTGGTCGCTACGAGCATTTTTCCTAATTATCACTTCGTGCAGCCTGTCCCGGCTGGAGTCACATTATGTGTGAGTAAACACAACAGGCTCCCACCCGCCTGGGAGCTGCAGGAGCTCCCGTGGCCGGAGTGACACGGCTCTGAGGGCGCTGTGAGCTGAGCCCAGCCAAGCTGAACCCAGGAAATCAAGTGACAGCTTCCCCAGCCCTCCCTGCCCCCTGCATGTGACTCCTCTCTTTCCTGCCTCTCCTCCAGCACACATGGAAATTCCGTGGCCATCTGCCTGTCCATGCTCCCACGCACAGGAACTTGGGGGGTTGTGATGTGAAAGTTCAAATAACGTGGAAAATCTGCTTGCTGTCCTCTTTACAGCTGGGTGCACAGGGGAAGCCCCAGCCCCTCTCCATCCTGCAGTCTCTCCTAGGACTGTCCCAGGATTGTACTCCAGCCCATCTGCGTCCTGGGGTCCCTTCTGGGAGCATCCCAGGGTTGTGCCTGCAGGATCTAATCCTGCCAATCCCACAGTCCCTGGTTCAGAGAGGTGCTCCTGGCTTAAACAATGGAGGGATCCAAGTCTGGGCAGCACCTGATTCTCGTGTTCCTCCAGGTGTAAGGAGTTAGATGCACACAGGATGTCCTGGAAAAGCAGCATCCTCCAGACCTTCTGTGAGGAATCTCTGAGCTCTTCCCATGGCATTTGGAATTGTCCTATTCCATCAACTCTCCTTACGTGATATCTTGATTTTCTTTTATATTCGGGATCTCTCTCAGCTTTGTCTTATTTTAGGAGCTCCCTGCAGCTTTCTCCTTTTGAGGTAATAATTCCCAATTTTACACTTCATGCTGAGCCTTCTACAGAGCAAAATTGCAGTTTTGCAACTCTCAGAGCTGTCTGTAGGCTGGGCAAAAAAGAGGATTCTGTTGTTGTCTAATGATGTGAGTTGTAATCAGCTTCAAATTTATATGGTTTAGTCTTGCATAAATTAGAGCAAAAGTCTCCAAAAAGCTTGAAGGCAGATCTTCTGTCTGGAAATCTTACAGTTCCATCTCCACTGTCCGGTCAGTAGAGGACACTGCTTTTTATCTAAAGACATAAAATCCTTTAAATTATCTGCCTTGATGCAACAAAGGTTTTTTAGTGAGTTGTGGGTGAGTTAGGCAGCTTTTTCCTGCCACTAACTCAGATCAATCTGCGTGGGACAGAAGGGACCTGTCATCTTTTGTGCCTTGGGAGGTACAAAAGAGGTTTGCCAGGATGTATCTTAAAGCTGCTTTGTTTTCATGCTAAAAACAGTGAGGATTAGATTGTCTAGATTGGAACATAGAGGAAGCTGGTGATGGCAGATGGTGAAATGGGATGGTCACAGCACGGCTGTAAATAGGATCTGGTCAGTGTTGAGGGCGTCCTGGGGGCTGCAGGAGCAGGGCTGAATCACCCAGGCATCCCACACACAGCATTTCCCCTTTCCCAACACCTTCCAGGCTCTCTTCCTAGCAAAGGAGACCTTGGTAGCATCTTCCCCATTTCCTGTGGCCTCTGCATTGCCAAAAACAGCAAAGCACAAGTGTGGTCTCCCTTTTCAGTGAGCTCCCTGCAGCCCTGAGGTCTCCACCTCCCCCTTCAGACTTACACATCAAACTCTCAACAGGAAATTCTTGAGGTTTGCCTTGGCACTGCCAGGAATTCCTGTGAGAAGTCAGTCCCTCCTGGAATATCAGAAAGGATCTGAGCTTTCTAAAGGACAGGAGGCTTATCACATACAAAAACCCCAGACTTTTGTTCTCTGTCTACCAAAGCAGAGGAAGGAATATGTCAATTCACAGATTTTTGGGGCTGGAAGGGACCTCTCCAGATCATGGAGTCCAACCCCTCTGCTCAAACAGGAGGTTTGAGCTGGTTTTCCAGGACCACACCCAGCTGGGTTTTGAATATCTCCATGAATAACTCTGCAACTTCTCTAGGCAACTTTGTCTCCATGTTTCACCACCCTCACAGTAAAACAGAAGTGATTTCTTTTGTTCAGATAGAAATTCCTGTTTCTTAATGTGTCTCTCAGCTCTTGTCCTGTCAGAACTGTTATAAGGTAGCTCTGGAATTATCATCCTGACTGGAATTACTGTCAGACATATCCTCTTCTACCCTCTCCTGAGCTCTGAAGGCTTAACAAGGGGGGGACCTCACGTGCACTGGGATCTCATCCTCTCACTGCTGTTTGACTTGTCCTTAAAATGTAAACTCTGAGCTTTTTCTGCCTCCCTGTAACCATGAGCCAGGCTTTATGGTGATTCTCTTTGCTCTTGCAGGAAGAGCTGGCACACGGATCGTGGGAACAATGCAAGGTGGAGACACGGAGGAAGATGTAAGTAACCATCCCATGTGTCTGTAGAGCTTCCCTGACAGTGCTTTAGAGTGCCAGCCCTCTCCTCAGCTAGAGAAACACCTTTTATCTACTGAATCCTCATGCCCCAGGCCTGCTTTTCCCCTCCTTTCCTTTAACTGTGCTCTCTCATCAGCATAGACACAGATTCCCTATTTTTCCTTTGCTCTTGGGGTCCGTGTGCTCCGTGTGCTTTCGCCTCGTCCTGCAGTGCACAACTCGTGGCACACAGGCTGCAGGAATGCTGTTTTGGTGAGCTGTGGGGGCAGAGTGCTGGCAAGAGGGATCAGTGCAGGGCAGCAGGAGTTAGGTACATGGACGTAAATCCCCTTTTGTTGCTCTAAAAACGTACGCCTGGGACCCTCTCCATGGCCTGTAGTGGCAGCATCAGTCATCCAAATGATGGGACAGGGATGAGAGCAGGACTGTGAGCTTTATCCCTTGGGATTCCTGCTGTCCCAGGGCTCCTGGCTTTGCATCTGGTTGTGGTTTATGTGGTGAGCGGGCAGAGTCTAAAAGGCACACACAGGTTTGTACAGGAGGCACTTGTTCTGTGTCTGTGCCCAGCCCTTGGCATCCGTGGACAACTTTTCTGTGCCTCTGGGCACACCTGAGTGGCTACATCTGCACTAGGCAGCTGAAGCCAGCTGCTGTGGTGTGATTTGCATCCATACAGGAAGCTCTTTCCATCTTCCCAAAAACCTGCTGGCATCCTGGGAGCAGTGGGGCTGCCCTGTTCTCCTCATGGTGATGGATTATTGTTTTGAAGAGTGCTGGTTGGCACAGGCCAAAACTGTGCTAGAAGATAGTACAGCTATGATGATTGTGGCCTTGTGTTTGAACCTGTGCTGCTGTTAATTCCTGGTGTGGATGGAGCCTTCCTGTCTCCCTGCAGATACCCCTGCAGTGCTGCCTGGCTCGAGGAGGGCAGTTCAGACATCTCTTTGAATCCCAGAATGGTTTGGGTTGGAAGGGACCTTAAAGCTCATCTCATTCCACCCCCTGCCATGGGCAGGGACACCTTCCACCAGCCCAGGTTGCTCCAAGCCCCGTCCAGCCTGGCCTTGGACACTTGCAGGGATGGGGCAGCCACAGCTTCCTTGGGCACCCTCACCTTGTCTCTGGAGAGTAACTTGCAGCCCCTGCTCTGCTCTTTGCTCCTGCAGGACTGGGTGTGGTCAAGGCTGTTGTTGCCTCCTGGGGAATGATTTATGCCCTTGGCATTCTGACCTGTTTCTGGGAGGGTCAGGAATGCCTGTGCTGTATGTGAAGATGTCACCTTATTGTCCTTGACCATGTTCATGACAGATTTGGATAGTCATCCTGTGTTGCTTCTCTTCCCTTTAGACTTTCCTGTTCACTGCTTTCTCCCTGCTGGCACAGCTCCATTGTATCCAGGTGTGGAAAGCCAAGGCCTTCAGCCTCCAATTGCCCTCAGCTGGAACCCCTCAGCTGCGATTGTCTTATGGCTCTGCTCTGGGAATCATCCTCTCAGGAGGCCCAGGGGCTGAGAGGCTCACTCAGGAACCCTCACAGGCTTCTGTGTCCAAGATGAGGGAAGGAAACTGAGGCTGGTTTGAACCCCTCAAGGAGTTCATGGAGTTAGGAAGAGAGCAGGCTTCAGCCTGCCTCAGAGCCTCTGTCCCTTGCTGGTGTGGTGCATGATGCCAGAGCTGTGCCTGCCTTTGCTGCCTTCTCCCCTGCTCCCACCTTGGTTACTTTCTGTTTTCTTTTATGTTCTTGTACATTTTTTTTCCCTGCTCTGCCTCTCTTGTTCCTTCCACTCTGGTTCTCCAAGGGGACACCTGCCCCAGCACGGCCAGGCTCGCACAAGGTCACCACCAAGGCACAGGTGGGTTCCTCTCCTGCAGTTCATTTTCTTCCACTTCACCTTGATTCTCACAAGGTATCACTTTAAAGTTAAACACCCTGCCAGGTTTTTAATACCCCAGATCCAGCAGAAGTCAAGGAGTTCATGTTTGTCAGCTCTGTGGGGTGGGGAGGGAGGTTTGCAGTCAGCTGGGAGTGCAGGGAGGGAGCCAGCACTGCCATCCCTTCCTGTTGAGCTGGCAAAGTGGCCTTGCCATGGGACAGCTGAAGTGGTTATGGCCTCTTGTTTCCTTTCCTTCAGGAGGACTCGGGGGACAGTGAGATTGACCTGGATGAAGATGATGATGAGGAGGAGGATGATCTGGAAGATGACAGCATGGAAATCTCCCCAAGCAAATCCAGCCACCGAGCAAGGAAGCCAGAGCCACTGGAGCAAAGTGATAATGACTTCTGACTCTTCAGGAGCAGGAGGCGTCTTGAAACAGAAACTTTGGAGAGAATGCAGGCCAGGAGCAAATATCCTGCCATTTGAAAAGTGCGTGTCAGCATGAATTTAGGAGTTGGTGAATAATGGTCATTAAACTTAAAAATTAAACTCGGATTGCCAGGCTTGTGACTCTCGAAGCATGAGCAGTTTATCCATAATGAGAATCACAGTAATGTGATGTTATTTCCATAATTGCACTAAACTGGCTCTCGTGCACTGCAGTGCCAGAAGTCTCACTCCAGTGAGCACTGTGTACCTGATTTCCCTGCATTTTATTATGTCCAAACAGTTTTTTTTTGCTTAATAAAACTGGATTAAAAGCTACTCTGGGAATGCATTTAAATTGATTTTAAATCTGGCTTAAATCTATTTATCCTAAACATATCCTTTACCTAATCAAGGGCTTGTCTCTGCTAAGAGCAGCTCCAATTAGACTGAAGGACTGAAGTTAAAACTGGGAAACAAGTGAAGAGGTCCTCAAATGCCACCAAGGGTATTTCAGCTGTGTCAGTGGGAATTGTCTCAAACTTCAGTGGGCTGAGCTTGAGTGCCCTGAGAGCAGCCTGAGAGATGTGCTGTAACCAAATCCATATTAAATTAACCCTTTCATTATACTGGGGCTACCGGGGTAGGCTCAGATTTAGGCATTCAGATGGGCCAAAATCTGGGCTTTTGTTCAGTACATTGTGCTGATGCCATCAGTGAAGGTCTGTTCAGATTTGTCTGGGGGCTGTCTCTTTTCTTTTGGCTCTGCTTTAGCATCACAGTTTGTCTTCAGAGGAGCAGGAATCAGTGCTCGATGAGAAGAGTTTGTTGGGGTGTGTGTTCATCAGGGCAGTCAGAGCCCTGGCTGTGCTCCTGCCCTTCACCTTTTTACACCAGCGAGTAACTTTGCTTTCGACCCCTTCTGAGGTCTGCACTCAGGTCCAGTCTCTCCATTAATGAAGGAAGGAGTGCACAGAAGTTGCTTAAAAAACTGAGAGGTTTTTCATCTCTGACCCCAAGGGTGGAACTGTCACACCCAAAAAAGTGCCCCATCAGCAGAGCCCAGAGCTTGAAATGTCATGTCAAGCTGGGAGAAAAGCTGACAGGTAAATACAGCCCGTTTTTGGGTGGTAATGGGGGGTGTGTGGGTGCAGTGATGTGCTGAGCTGACTGGCTGACAGTTTGGATGCTTCCTTGTCCTTCTTAGTTGGCTTTTTGCAGCTTATTTCAAAGAAGGCAGATAGAGAAGGGCAAACACCTACTTCAGAGCCATTAGGGTGGTCCTGTGACAGCCAGGGGGAAGGTGTATGTGCTTAACACATCCCTCTCCTGAGGGGTGGGAAGGTGCTGATTTTAGGACCCATTCCCAGAATGTTTTCCCATGTTATGCAGGGAATCCACTCTGGTCCTCCATGTGTGCTGTTCAGCTTGGAAAAGAAAAGGTTCCAGGGAGACCTGAGAGCCCCTTCCAGTGCCTGAAGAAGCTCCAAGAGAGCTGGAGAGCACTTGGGACAAGGGATGAAGGGGCAGGACAAGGGGGAATGGCTTCCCACTGCCAGAGAGAAGGGCTAGATGGGATATTGGAAAGAAATTCTTGGCTGTGAGGGTGGGGAGGCCCTGGCACAGGTTGCCCAGAGAAGCTGTGGCTGCCCCATCCCTGGAAGTGTCCAAGGCCACCTTGGATGGGGCTTGGAGCAGCCTGGGCTAGTGGAAGGTGTCCCTGTCCATGGCAGGGGGTGGAATGAGATGAGCTTTAACCTTCCAACCCAAAACATTCTGGGATTCTGTGATGTATCTGACCCATGGGAATGACATCCTACGAGACAGGGCCCAGTCTCCCAGTCTGGGCTGCAGTTTAAGAGTTACAGTTTTCTGTGTTTATTTCCTATATTATAGGAAAGAGTTAAAAAGAGACTTCATACCTTGTGTGCACAGAGCCAGAGCCTCTCTTCAGGCAGCACTGCCACCTAGCCTTCCAGCATGGCCAGCCAGGGTTAGGGAGGCCACAGTTTGTGTTGCAGCTCCTTGTGCCAGGCCAGAACAGCATCACCATCAGCAGCCACCCCTGTGCCAGTGAACTGAGCTTCCAGCTCAGGATCTGCAGCCAGGGCAGTGGAGCACAGCTCACCCCCTGCGTCGTGCAATGCAAGGGGAAGGCTGCACAAAGCATCTTCTCATCTGGGAACCAGTTTATTTCCAAGTATGTACATACCCACAGCTCAGCCCAGCGTTCCTGGTGTCAGCCCCAGGGTCCCTGCAGTCACTGCCCCGAGTGTGCCAGCGTGTCTCAGAGTGGGCTCTGGCTGGGGTGGAGTGGGGAGGGGGGCAGTGGCTGGAGGGGGCTCTGGGAGGTTCATAGTTCGGCTACTGGTTCACCTGCAAACCTGGCACCTTCTGGAGAGCCACTGGGTCTGTGCCATGCACACTAAGGCATCACCTGGCACCTCTGCTTTCAGCAGCCTGCCCAAAGGGTGACCTGCTAGGGCAGACCTTGCCTGCAGCTGGGACATGGGGAGGACGCATCCCAAGGCCACAGAACTTGTCACTGATGGCAACAGCAGGAGACCCAAGAACCCCAGCCTGAGCTGGAGGGGCAGGGAGCTGAGGTAGTCCTGGTGTAGCACCCGGACACTGTGCTGGAGACAGCTCATCCTGCAGTGCTGGTCCTCTTACATTTACCCTCCTACTCCTCCCATTTTCCTGAGGACCTTTCATTTCCAAAGGTCTTTCTAGATGGTTCTGCTCCTATGCCTTGAGTTGCCTGTCTCTTCACTAGAGAACAGCTCTACCGAGCCCTTCAGGCATGTCTGATCAGCACCAACCTGTTACTGAGGGCACAGCAACAGCCCAGGATCCTGCTGTGAGTGCCCAGGTCCACAGCACCGCCCTCATCCAAGCAAGGAATCAGCAAACCTCCTGTGTCCTTATGGCATTTCAAGGGGAGCCTGCAGGACCAGGCTGTATTTAACCAGGTGAGAAGGGGCTGCTGTGAACCCTGTCTGCTTTTCACCCAGTTCTTCTGGGATCCTTGCCAGAAGCAGAAGACAGAGAAGAGCTGGCACTGGGAGCAGAGCCCTGGAGCCCCATTGGGGGTGTTGCAACATTTGCCCACAGTGACTTGGGCTGGGACAGAGCAGAGGTCCAGGATGCACCTTGTCTGAGTCAGGGTCCAAGCACAGCACTGTAACCCCGTGGAGATCACAGGAGGGGTTGCTGCTGCCTGAAGATAAATCACCCACGAAACCAAGGTCTGGCATGTGGGATCTGCCCCCTCCTCCCTCCTTTTTGTGTTTTGCTCATTCCTTGAAGCTCCCCCAGAGCCTGGATGAACAGGGACCCAGGCACACATCCCTCAGCTTTCAACACCAGCGAGTCTCGACCCTCCTGCGCTGCTGATCTGGACACCCTCGGTCCTCCTGGGCCACGCCAGGGAGCTCAGGAGCTCTCCTTGCCCCAGCTCTCTTCCCTGAGATGGGGACCAAGCAGCTCCCTGTGGGGTCACACTGGCCACACTCCTCACTGCAGCCAGGCACCCTCACACATCCACGACGCAGTTGGGAGCATTTGTCCGGATGGTGTCGGAGATCATCTTGGCTCCCGACTGGCCGATCCGATTCCCCTGCAGGCTGGGAGCAAAGACAAGAGGAGCTCAGGCTTGGATCAAGCAGGATCCTTGGTGGGCACGAGAGAGATGCTCCCCAGCTTTGCACCAGCATCACCTGCACCCTCCCCACCCCATCCAGAAGCTCTTCCTGGGACTCCACTTCCAGGAGACTCTGAGTTTGAGAGCCTGAAGGCTGGGGCCAAGGTGAGGAGCTGGAGGAAACCCCTGGGGAGCTGGAGGGGCTGAGCCACTTCTCACCTGAGCTGGAGGGGCTGAGCCACTTCTCCCTTGTGATATTTTGGGGAGTATGTGGCTTTTGAGGTGGTTCTTTGCCACAGAGGCATCCCTGAAAAGGAGCTGTGTGGGTATTGTGGCTCTCATGCCTGGAGGAGCATGGGATGCCCCTGCCCTGTTGGGGAGGTCCCTGTGGGGCAGCCAGGACTGGGCGGTGCCAGGTGGAGAAAGTCCTGGATGGTTCCCATGGTCTCCCCCATCTCTGCTTTTACCGTCCAGTGCAGCAGCCACTTACTTCACGTAGGTGAGGCCGTGGTTGCCCTTCAGGGCAGTGGCGATGCAAATGGCTCCATCCATGCCCAGGGAGTTTTCCTGCAGGCTGAGGAAGGCAGGAGGGTCAGAAAGCACCAGCCAGGGAGAAGTGGCCACCAGGAGGGAATGCGTGGCTCGGACATTGTGAAAAGCCACCCACTCAGGGGTTTGCCCTGCTGAGAACCATTGGCTTGGCCATTCCCTCGCTGCTCCCTCCAGGAAGGTCTGGAAAGGCTCTTCCTGGCTCACCCCAGGGAGCGGGATACTCACTTGAGGCGGCGGAGGCTGCTGTTCACCCTGAGGGCGTTGGCCATGGCCTTGGCCCCTGCCACGCCGATGGAGTTCCCCCGCAAGCTGAGAAGAAAGGCAGGAGGTGAGGAAGGACAGCCCGGGATGACCCCAGGTGGGAGGAGGTGGGAGAGGTGGTCCCACACCAGCGAGCCAAGGGACGAGCAAGCCAAGTCTGGACACGATGCAAGGGTGGAAGTGGTGCTGAGGTAAGGACCAGGATCTCAGACACCCCGGGGATCCGTGTCACAGCCGTGGGGACTGATGGCCCCACTGAGCACTTACTCCAGGATCTGCAGGCTCTTGTTGACCATCAAAGCTTCTGCCAGGGCTTGGGCACCAGCCGTCCCAACCGAAGCCATTTGCAGGCTGCAAGGGAACAGGGACCCTTCAGCACACGTTGTGAGGTGGACGTGGTGTGCTAATTACACAAGCTAATTAGGCTGCAGCTCCAGGGCCCCGCCACAGCCTGGATACTCACTGGAGATCTGCCAGGGTCGTGTTGACCTTCAGTGCATCAGAGAGGGCGGCCATTCCCTCGTCTCCGATGGCATTTTCCTGCAAGCTGAGACACCCAAGTGCTGCCTCTGCCCCTGGCCTCTGCACCCAGGAGCAGGGAGAGGGACAGCAAGCACAGGGCACAGTGTGCCCACCATTCCCAAATGGCTTGGGGGACCCCAGGCCACCAGGCACTCGGAGCAGCCCCAGACAGGCACATGCAGTGGTGGCACAGAAGCCTTCCAGTACCTAAAGGGGCTCCAAGAGACTTTTGACAAGGACATGGGGTGCCAGGACAAGGGGGAACAGCTTCCCACATCCAAAGGGCAGAGTTAGATGGGATATTAGGAAGAAATTCTTCCCTGTGAGGGTGGGGAGGCCCTGGCACGGGTTGCCCAGAGAA